GTCGGTTAAGCGTCCAACTTCGGCTCAGGTCATGGTCTCGCGGTTCATGGGTCCGAGCCCCGTATCGGGCTCTGTGCTGACAACTTGGAGCCCCGAGCCTGCTTCGAATTCCCTGTCTCCCTCTCTCTCTCTGCCCCGACCCCACTTGTGCTGTCTCTCATAAAAAGTGTTTAAAAAAAATGTTTTAAAAGTTGCTGAAAATGACCACCCCTTACCAGGCCTGGCCGGTTTTAGATGTCCACACTATAGCTCTTGTTGAAAATCAGGTGGAATCATTTCCCAGAGTAGGGCAAGGCTTCCAAAGCCTTAGCCAACAGTTGCCTCCACTTTGAAGGAAGGTACTTTGTGTAAGGCAGGGGACCTGAATGTTCTACGTTGTAGAGCAGATAAATACTTGTTTGTTTTCTGTAATCTAGTAGTGGTTAACTTAATAGTCTCCAAAAATATGTTCTATGGAATCTTGAGATAAAAAACTTTTTCTTTGGTCGAATACATTTGGGAAAGCCTTGCACACCCTAGGCCCCTCCTGAATTTCACAGGGCGCACAACATTTTTCCAGAGAAGGCTCTGGAAAGTATAAACCCTTTTAACTTTGTTCCTCTTGGTTTGCCAGTTTATTTGGCCACAGGTTTCTTTTCAGAGTAATGCCTGTGAACACCTTGTGGATTGGTGGTTTTCCATAGAATCCCATGTAGAAAAGCCCGGCTAGCTGGGGCAGGGAATGGGCACCTGGGGGACCGGCTAGCACGGCTACATGGGACAAATGACAAGAAGTTATCAAGATCTTCCTCTGTGCATAGAGGCTCCCAGGCCAGACTCTGGGAAGGGCTCAAAGATGTGTACGCCCTTCCAGCCTGTCAGCTTGAGGCAGCCTGTCCTGGAGCATGTCCTGATGACCTAGAAGTAGCTACAGCCACACTCACTCATCACAAGATGTTCCTGGTGGTTTTGAAAAATGGGTCAGGGGCCCCTGGGTGGCTCAGCCTGTTAAGCTTCCAACTTTGGCCCGGGTCGTGATCTCACGGCTCATGAGTTTGAACCCCTCATTGGGCTCTCTGATGTCTGCACAGATCCCGCTTTGGAACCTCTGTCTGCCCCCCCGCCCCCACCTCCGCCTCTCCCCCTGCTTGCTCTCTCTCAAAAATAAACAAACCTTATATAAAAATGGGCCGTAGCAGGTCTCTAAGCCAAGGGGAGACGTCGTCCCCCCACCCTCTGAGTTTGGATATGTAGAATATGCTTTGGGAACTGTGGAAGTAAAAGTCTGCTTAGAAACTGATGAAGTTATGGGGCGCCTGGGTGGCGCAGTCGGTTAAGCGTCCGACTTCAGCCAGAACACGATCTCGCGGTCCATGAGTTCGAGCCCCGCGTCAGGCTCTGGGCTGATGGCTCGGAGCCTGGAGCCTGTTTCTGATTCTGTGTCTCCCTCTCTCTCT